CCCCAAAACCCCAAAACCCCAAAACCCCAAAACCCCAAAACCCCAAAACCCCGGGATGAGGATTCTGGGTTGAGTTCAGGAGGTTTAAGCATTTGGGGTCAGATTAAAATTTTTGGTGTGGAATTGATGATGTAGTATAATAGGTGCTACGAACAGTAGGTGTTGACACTATATATTTTTGTGGTTTATTCTGAAGTTGAAGACAGATATTCTGAATAAGATTATTTGAAGTTTGTAGGAAAATTTGATGTTTCAGAGCATTAAAATTTAAGGTTTGGAGATTAGAAGCGAGCCATGCTTGCATCTTCATAATCTGCTCATAAAATTCAAGTGAGATCGACAAAAAGAAAAATATTTTCTTCTTGGTTGCTTTTATAATTTGAAAGCTTATGTATACAGAAACTGGTGAAAGCAGTAATTAGCACAAGGATTTGGCTAGTCTAGCAGTTCCTACTATTTTCTATAGTCTATTACTCATCTTTTGAGCAAATATTTTTGGAATTGGTAATTCAAATATGGAAATCCAATTAATTTTTATCATAACACTATTTTTAACTAAAGTAAAACTTATGAATAAAAGGGAAAAGAACTCTATAGCTAGCTCTGATTTTATTAGATACAATAGAGAGCTTTGATGCTAAACTTTGCTTTGTATTAGCATTTAATCTCTTGAGACCCTTGTAAAAATATGAACTTTTATCAATTATGTTGAACTTTCTTCCATTACCTGACTAATGGGCTTACTAATAAACCATAGTGGGTCCTATATAAACCTAATAAGAATCAATCACGCCGAAAGTAGGTCAGGGATAATATTACTCCAGTAAGTAGAGAAGGGGTCTAATTTTCAAGAAGAATAATTTGTCCACAAAATTCCTCTCATGTACCTCTGATATGCTTCCGGTAATTCATTCCGATTAAGGAGTAAGTCTACAAGTCTAGCAAAAACAAATTAATGGTAAGTAATAGATGCAAAGGGACTCTCAGCAGTCTCTAGATGCCTAAAATCCCTTCTGAAGTACACTCAGTTTACCGGTTAAGGGTACTAACATGCAACAAATGCTTATTCTCGGAGGAATTTGGTAAACCAGTATTTAGTAGAATTTCAGTACTGAAATGGCTAAAAGGTATTTATAGTCATATTTTTAGCAGAGTTTAGCTCTAAATATACACGTCTTTTTAGGGAGGGATCCATCTCTTTTAGGTACCCCAAAGAAGTTCTGATATACATCGATGAATAGACTCGATTACTGAGAGGATAAAGTAAGTTTTACTATATTAGAACTCTAAAGGAAGATTTTATTTACAATTTCTTTGAAATATCACTCAGAATTTATGTCATTTCCTTGTGTTGGTCTATTTTCCAGCCTGAAAAGTTGTAACATCCGCAATCATAATTGGAGGTTTACACAGTAAATATCTGCTGATATAATAATTTTTTTAAGAAATATGCTGGTTGGTACAAATTTGGCCCTAAATTTGCTCAGCTTGCTTCTCTAAAGAGTTCTCAGAATTGAGCGCCATCAATTTTTAAAGTCTTTCTACATTTCACCGAGAATATTTAAAATATTGTTTTTAGGATCAGCCCTAAAAATGTACAATTTATTTATTCTCAAAAGAGTTAAACTTTCTCTCCAAGATAGGTTGACATAGAATTCTGGCAATAATTAGGATACTAACTTAGAATTTTTGAGCATCAACGTAACCTCATGTAAAGATCAAGGCAGCCAACCCCAAGGTAAAGCATCAGTACCTAGCCATATTCTAATATGAAATGAGTCACCACCGATTGAACTTAGAAAGATATCCTAATTTACCAATATTATATATGATGCAAACAGGCATTTATAAGAATGTCTTCTATGATAAATAAGACTTAATAAATTTCTATGCAGAAGGCCCTCTACACACCTAATGGTCTAATTAGTCACCACAGAGAATGATTTATAACTATACAGATTTTGTTAAGGGTTGAAATATAGTAGAATTCACCGACTTTTCTAAGTAAATTCGTAGCGGTTAAGAAAGATATGTATGACTTTATTAATAATTATTCAAGAATTAAGGGTCAAGATATTTATCTTAAGAGTACTTTAGAGTTTATGAGCTCACAAATAGATTTTATAACACCATTTATTGAGCTTTGGATGGTTGTTCAATGTCTCCCATTGTGAGAATGAAATTTTCATCTTCCTTAGCTTTGTTTATCTCACTGAAAGGAGTCTGTAATGATTTCTTTTGTGAACTAAGAATTAGCTTCCTTTCATTAGATTTCTTCTTCTTGATAATGAGTTTTTGAAGCAGACTGCTGATCTCAGACTTCAGAGACCTAGGAGATGCAACTGAAGGGCAGTTGTTACACATGTAATCAACTGAGTTCTTCTTAGTTTTAAATGATGAAGCATGGATCAGCTTATTTTGCTTATTTGCACTTGTAAAATCTTGGTTTAGCGAACCCTCCATCTCATCTCTCTCCATCTTAAGGTTGTTTGTAATCCAAAATTTACTTTTGGATTTCATCCCCTTGTTGACTCCAGTTTTTGAAGCTATTGGTGATGATTCTGAAAGGACATCATCACTAATGTCTCAGTCCTCTGAGGCTGCATCAGATTTCTCTAGTAGGACCCTTGGGAATATTTTTGGTTGAAGTTTATTAGCTTGAATCATTTTATTTATTTATTTGTATATGTCAACCTATCTTTTATAGCGTGGGGTTTTGGGGTTTTGGGGTTTTGGGGTTTTGGGG